ATGAAAATGTTTGTTCCCATAAATTTGGAGCAAACAACTAGAAAAGTAACTAAGTAAAACAGGATACAGCAGGTCTTATCTTGTTTTACTGAGAGAAGTTAGTTAAGTAGAACAAAAGATTCCACAATATTGAAACAATTGCTAAAAGTAACTAAGCAAAATGGGATAAAGCTGGTCTTATCTTGTTTTGCTGATAGAAGTTAGTAAGTAGGACAAAGGTTAAGCTTTGCCCAGAGTGTGCATGCTTATGTGCATGGCTTATGAATATTATGAATATTAGCTTCTCCACCTCCAGGTATCTAAGATGTCATTTTCTGAACATGGGATGTATTAAGAAGGAGAAGGACATGTTAGGGAGTAAATGTGTAATAGGTGTACCAGAAAGTTGTACACTCTAGAGTAGTCAGCCAATGAGGAAACAGAGGAGGGACTTTGCAGCCAGGATTAGAGATAAATAGTGAACTCCTGCTTTGGCCAAGTGTGTCCTAGTCCATAGGATACTCGCCCGTTGCAACTGCATAATAAACTGGGCTTTTAACTTAATCCCTCCTGAGTCCAAATGAGTTATTTCTCACATTTTACAACATGACTAAGATGGATATGTTTTACATGATTGAACATGTATAATCTGAATTGTTTACCCTTTTAGGGAAGGAAGAGGAGATGGGAAATAGAGAAAATCTAGAACTCAAAAAAATTTTTTAATGAATGTTAAAAACTGTCTTCATGTGTAATTGGGGAAAAAATAAATTATTTTTTTAAAAATTAAAACCCCAACATTAAAAAACAAAATAGGAATCCTGAAAATCAAAGGAGACTAACAAAACTGAAAGCAAAAGGTAAAAAGAAAAAGAACTCATTGAATTAATACATACAAGAACATGGTTGGAAAAAACAACATCAACAACAAATAAAAAGGATAAGTCATTGGCTAACTGGATTAAAAAAAGAAAGAACAACAAATTACCAGTATCAAAAGTAGAAAAGATCGGGGCAGCTAGGTGGCAAAGTAGAAAGAGCACTGGCCCTGAAGTCAGGAGGACCTGAATTCAAATCCAGCCTCAGACCAAACACTTGACACTTACTAGCTGTGTTACCCTGGGCAAGTCGCTTAACCCCAATTGCCAAAAAAAAGAAAAAAGAAAAGAGAAAAGATGAACTGAAAAAAGAAAAGATGAACCAATGAAAAATAGAAGAAATATGAGGAGATAGTTTGCCCAACTATATGACAATAAAACTAGTGATCTAAATGAAAGGAATAGTTACAAGAATGTCAGGTGCCCATTAATAGAACAAGAAACAGAAGACAAATAATCCTATCTCAGAAAAAAAAAATGAACACTCAATAAATGAACTCCCCCCAAAAATACACAGAACCAGATGGATTTACAATCACACAAAAGATCAATTAATTCCAATAATACATAAAACTGTTTGAAAAAAATAGGGGAAAAGAAGCTCTACAAAATTCTTTCTGAAACACAATGATGGCGTCAATACCTAAGCCAGGAAGTCAAAACGGAGAAAGAAAACTATAGGTTAATATTCCTAATGAATATTGATACAAAAAGTTTATATAAAATATCAGCAAGGAAACTATGGCATCACAAAGATTATAAACTATGACCAGGCTGGATTTATTTCAAGAATGAAGAAAACCATAAGCATAACTGACCATATTAGTAACAAAAAGCATATCATTATATCAATACAGAAAGATAATACCCATTCCTGATAAAAACACTAGAAAACATAGGAATAAGCAGCATTTTCCTTAAAATGGTAAGCAGTAACTGTTAAAACCAAGAGTTAACACTATCTGTGATGGGGATAAGCTAGAGGCCTTCGCAATAACATCAAAGGTAAAGCAAGGCTGTCTATTATCATCATCAGTACTTAATATAGTGCTAGATACGCTAGCTATAGTAATAAGAGAAGAAAAAATTGAAGGAATAATCATAGGTAAAAGGAAACACGATCATCACTTTTGAAATACTATGATGATTTTCTAAAAACTAAGTGAAACAATTATCAACTTTAACAAAGTTACAGGACATAAAATAAACCCACACAAATCATTGGCATTTCTATATATTACCAACAAAATCCAGCAGAAAGACACAGAAAAAAGAAACTCCATTTAAAATAACTACAGAGAGTATAAAATACTTGGGAGTCTACCTACCAAGACATACAGGAACTATATGAACACAATTCCGAAACACTCTTTAGTGAGTCAGTCTCATTCACTAAGTTCCCACTAAGTGCCAGGCACTGGAGATACAAAAGGAGGCAAAAGACTCAGGGTTGTTGTGGGCGGTGATAACACAAATGGATAAAGAATTCAAGGGTAGCTAATAACAAATGGTTGAACTGTGAGCTACAGATCAAGACTATGAAATGAGGCAAGAAAGACCATAGCAAGGATGATGGACTGGGCAAACAGGAAAACTTAGAAGGACAGGAAGTCACGGTGAATAGGAAGAAGAGATTTGAGAAGGATTGCGGCATAATATATAGAACAGTGGACTTGGAGGGAGGAAGACTTGGGTTCCAATATTGCCTCAGACATTTACTGGTTTTATGGTCCTAAGTAAACTATATGAGCTTTCTGGGCCTTGGTTTCTTCATCTGTAAAACGAGGGGGTTTGATTCAATAAGGGATCTTCTAGCTCTAAATGTAGATCCTATGTTTAGGAGGTGTGAAGCAGAAGAGACTGAAGGACAGGTTGTGGTGTCTGAAGAAAAAGAAGTCAGAATTCTGGGTCACAGAGATGGAAGGATGATGGGTTATGATCAGATCAAGATTAAGGTCATCATTGCAGGACTAAGGAGGAATGACAAGGGAGTTCATGGGAACTGAGAAAGTCAATGGAATGGGAGAACAGGCTGTCCTAGGTAACATCAACTTGTATGGTAATATCCCCAAGTATAAAGACACAGGCTACAGTGAAGAAGGGAAGACTATGAGTCACACACTGAACTCCTTGAAAAAGGAGGGAGAATAATCTGGAAATCAACAGAAGACTGTGACAAGAAGCTGGAGTTAGAGACAAGAGATGGATAGAGTACAGATTGTAGAGAGAGAGAGCCTGCTGAGTGATGGTAGGTAGCAAAGGGATAATGGGGGAGTGAGGAGCAAGGAGCAAGTCAACTCTTCCTCCTGGAATACTCAGAATTAGAGGGGGTGGCCAGGGATTCAAGGCTTCTTGAAACAGAGCCAAGTTTTCATTCAATCTAGAGGATGGAGAGAATGTGAAGAGATCTAGAATACAAAGAGTTTGTTAACAGGAAATTGAGGATTATAGAGGGTACCATGGAATTAGAGGAAAGAGGATGAAAACAAATACTGCAGGTGGGTAAGACTGGTGAGGATAGAGATGAAAGGCTGGAGAGGGAGAGAATTTTCAGCAGATAACAACTCTGAAGCATAGGGACAAGGAGATAAGGAAATGGAAATCTTCCTATCATAGGCTTAATTAATTAATTAATTAATTAAGTCTTTGGGTACTGTTCACTTATCAGTTACAATTCTAATTACTCTACCATACCGCCCACACTTCTTTATTTTTTATACAAGGATAAGAGACACTTGGGCAAATGACTTTCTGAAATAAAAATTTGCTATACAGCGCTAGAGTCAGCTCAAACCAGCTTGAGAGGCAACTTAAATTTTCATTGTGAGAGCATTTACATATAGGAAATAAGCAAATGCTACAAAGAGAGCTTGATTGTTGCTCACTATCTAGACTTAAAGCAATAGATAAAATGTTAATAATGCAGATTAAACTTAAAAGTGTCTCATGCTTACACCCTCACCCTCCCAGAGAGCCAGCTATTAAACATTTACCAACACACCACTGGCTATATCAAAAACAATTCGTGATCTACCAATTCAGTATTCCTATCAGAAAAAGCTAGTGAGTTGTCATTAGTTTGACAAAATTTGTTCTTTCTTTTTTTTAAGGCAATTGGAGTTAAGTGACTTGCCCAGGGTCACACAGCTAGTAAGTATCAAATGTTTGGTCTGAGGCCGGATTTGAACTCAGGTCCTCCTGACTTCAGAGCCAGTGCTCTTATCCACTGCGCCATCAAGCTGCCCCACAAAATTTGTTCTTAATGGACATATGCCACTAAACAATAATAACAGCCTCAAACTATCTGCTTAATAATCCATTCAGTAAACTAGAAATCAAACCTTATAAAGTAAATGTATTATGGAGTGATTATTCTTATTACAGAGAATATGGGGTTGGTTTCAAAAGTTAACTAATTTAAAATGGTATGATTTATGTTAAACTTGTCAGGAATGCACATGTTAAACTTTGAAAATTAATTTCACTTTACAATTACATAATGCTATAAAATAAACATTTTATAAGATAAGAAGAAGATAAGGATGTACGGTAAGATAAGAAGAACTTGTCTAAGATGGTATATAGTGCAGCTTTCACACCAAGTCATTTTAGCTAAGAAACCTGATTCCTTAAACTGCCACATCCAATCCTGAACAAAACCCACTTAACATCAGAGATGGAGTATACAATGCACAGGAGGACCAAGCCTCCAAAAAATAACAGAGCACTAGTTAGCAATGCTGAGGAAAGGAAAAATGCTGCATATTTTCTATAAAGCTCTAACATAGTAAGAATCAGTGATTCTGAGCTGTAACTCCCTCATTTCCCTTCCAGGTACTGGGAGTCTGGTATTTTAATTTTTGAAGGGACAGTTATACAAGCACCATTTGGAACTAACCTGTAAGAATGATATGAAATCCCTAAGTCCATATATGCCAACAGCCAGACCCTTAAGGGCCCTTCCGATCCTCACCTCTTTTTCAGTTGTTGCTTTTGTTTTTTGTTTTTGTTTTTGTTTTTTTCTTGCGGGGTGGGGGGTGGGGCAGGGGAGGTGGGAGAAGAAGGGGAAAAACAAAGTCAGGTTCTGCCTCCCTCTCCCAGGCCAGAGTAGTAGCCACTCACAGGTCTGGGGACCTTCCTTACCTCTTTAAGAACCAGAACACAGTTTCCTGGTCCTACACACTGAGGCAGTTCAGCAATTCTTCCTTTGTTGAGATAAGGCCCTGAGAAGCAACGGTGGTTGAAGTAGATCTTTGGACAGAAGTATTTTCCATTAATTGTGACTGGAAAATGAAAAGAAGTAAATACAGTTATCTCTTCCACATCACAACTTTCCCCATTAAGGTTCTGATATACAATTAAATGGGAATTTGGGGGGAATTGTGCCAAAGTTGCAGACAACATTGCAAAGGCCAGCAGATGATAAAGAAAAAGTTTAGAAACTCAGAAATGCAGAAAATATATGTATAGTATTGTGTAATATAAACATATTTTATATTTTAATACCACAGTATTTCAGACTTCTTTTCTGGTATGCAGGGAAGGCCAAAAAATTTTCCCAGATTGCTTGGGGTGGGTAGAACCACACACACCCTTAATCCCACTCCTCCCAATGTGAAAGGGCTAATTGTATTCAAATATGTAGTTCCTTCTCATCCCATGCTTCCCTTAAAGTAGACTCTAAGAAAACCCAGATAAAGCAAATTACATACCAAGAACTCTATACACATAATAATAGCCAGCATTTATAAAGCACTTTAAGGTTTGCAAAGTTCTTTCTCTACAAATACCATCTCTTTCTCCTCAAAACAACATGGGGAGATAGGTGTTATTAGTATTATTGCCATTTTACAGATGGGGAAACTGAGGCAGACAGGTTAAGTGACTTGTCCAGGGTTACCCAGCTAGTAATTGTCTGAAGTTGGATTTGAACTCAACTCTTCCTGATTCAGACCAGACACTCTATCCACTAGTATTGGTTTAAGGCCAGGAGAATAGCAAGGCCATGGTAATGTTCAGGTTGAGGTTCAATTAAAGGCAACAAGAATCAAAAGAGGATGAAGGAAGAACAGGGAATTATTCCTACTTGTGCTTCAGTACCTTTGATCTTGAATAAAATTATGGGATGAATACATATGTTATTAGACCCCACCCCAAACCATTTTGAACCCCCAAGATCTGAGAAGGCCTAAAACCTGGACTGGCCAATCAGGAGAGACACTTTGGCCCACTCTGAGCTTAACCTACCATAATGCTTTGCATGCTCTGGCATAACAGACATCCTTTGCTTTGCTCTCTGAGTGAATTCAACATGCACCTACCTGTGCCAACAACTACAGGGCCAGATGAGGCTGACCAGAAGCACTCTTCCGTTTATGACCACTAAAGACAGGGTACCTGGGACTGGAGACTGTCTTGAATAGTGGGACTTTTCTTATCTTGGTATTATATGGACATATGCTATGTAGGGGAAATATGGATATACTGAATCTGTAACTTCAATTGATACTTTGACATTCTCTTATCTTCTTGTATTTACAATCTATCCACTTAAGAAATTCCTTTCTCATATCATGGTTAACACATATGGCATTCTGAGCCAGGAAGGGAGGGAGGGGTGAGAGTGAATTGCTCTGAAGATTTAAGATTTGCTTTGTCTGTCCATCCTTGGGCTCATTTGCACAATGAACTCCCAAGCATATCTCTATGTGCATATTCCACAAGCTTTGAAAGAAATAAACACTCACATGCATCCAATTTTGTTTGTCTTTCTAAGAATGAACTTAGTAATGGTTGACATTATATAAAGCACATGTTCATAAGGACTCATAACAAATATTTGCTGGGTTTAATATAAAGTTGGTCCTAATATTAAAAATTATTTCTAAAACAAAGATGGGTTAGGGTTAAAGACTTATTTATAAAAATACAGGTAATATTCAACAGTAAAAGTAGATTAGTTATACATGGGTTAATTTCTTTAAATTAACCAGTACAATTATTTGGATTTTATTTTATGCCTTTATTCAAAGACTTACTGTTGGTTATATTACACATTCTAATCAGACTGTGTTTTAAAATTTCAATGAATATCTTAACTATGACAGACATGGCTTGGTTTTAATGGTTTATAATTTTATGACAAATAGATCCCATCATATTAGTCAAATCATCACAGTCAAGTCAAACATTTAAGTGCCTCCGACGTGCCAGGCACTGTGCTAAGTGTTAATTAGTATAGGTTCCCTGAATACATAAGGAATTCAAACACAGAAGAGAAACCTTCTGGAGGGGCACCTAGGTGGCACAATGAATAGAGCACCGGCCCTGAAGCCAGAAGGACCTAAGTTCAAATTCGGCCTGTGACCAAACACTTGACATTTACTAACTGTGTGACCTTGAGCAAGTCACTTAACCCCAATTGCCATAGACAGATAGACAGCTGGATGGATGAATGGATAGACAGATAAATAGATAGATAGATAGATAAATGAATAAACAAATAAATAAATAAATGCCAAAAAAGAAACCTTCTGGAATTACAGAATCTCAGAAAGAAAATGTCCCTAAGAGGCCATGAAAGCCAGCTTACAGATGAGCAGGAATCTCCTCTTCAACAAACCAAGTACATCATCCTACACTTTCTGTGATTGTTGTTCTGGTCCTTTTAGTCCATATTTAGTATCGTTTCCCAAGGCAGCTCATTCTTGTGGAAAGCAGAGGTCAGGATATCAAGCCTAAGCTGACCTCTCTGCAATACTAATCCATTGTTCCTGGGTAAGCCTCTAGAGTTCAGAACGCCAATCTGGTCCATCCTCTGTGTGATAGCCTTTCAAATACATGAAGACAGTTATCTTGTCTCCAACCCCTGACCCCTGTCCCACTGGGGCCTTCTTTTCTCTTTCTGAGACCAAATATCCCCAATTCTTCAAATCCTCTTACAGCAAAATTTAAGACTTCCCCATCCCAGGAACCTTTCCCTCTAGCTCATCAATGTACTTCTTCTAATGTGCTACCTGGAATTGAACACAGAAATCTAAATATGTTCTGACTAGGGGCAGAGTGTACAGTAGGATTATCATCTTCCTCATTATGGACACTTCATACAGCTTAGAATCAAATTCATGTTTTTGGTTGCCACGCTGCAGTGCTGAATTATACTAGTCATTGCTATTACTTTTTCACATCAACACTACTGTCTCACATGTCCTCCCATCACAACTTACTTACGAAGCTGATTTGATCATTGGTATTCCAAACACACTCATCTCCACTAAAGTCATCTTATTAGACTGAAGTCAACATTTTAGTTTGTCAGAATCTTCTGAATTTTGACTTTTATGTGGTGGGTTAGCTGTCCCTTCCAGCTTTGTGTCATCTGCAAATCTGGCAAGCTTTTATTCCACAGAAGATTCTGGGGCATTCCGTTAAAGACTTCCATCCAAGTTAATACCGACCAATTATTGAATGCTACTCTTTCCCATCAGTTCTCTAGCGCTAGGTATTTTCTGGGCAGCACAGCTTTCTATATGCCCACTTTACTGTGTTGCGTGAATCTATTGAAGCAGCAGCCTTGAATCCTATTATTTGGAAAATATCAAAGGGATAAAGATTTGACAACTTCATCCAACAAATTAAATTTCACCAATGAGAATATGAAGTTTTATTCTAAGCAAAATTTGATTGCAGTAAAGCTGAGATTTCATTCAATCAGCACCTATCACAAAATTTTCACCTCCTACTGATAATGGCAACTATTGCTGCTAAAAAAAATAAACTATTACAATATCACCAAGTATCAGATAATTTAAAAGTAGTTTCACTTTTACAAAAAAAAGTAAACAGAAACTCTTGATAAATGTTCTTAGCATCTAACTTAGTTAAGGAAAAAATAGTGCACAAATCTCTTATTATTTTAGCTTAAAAAAAAAAACTTCATCATGTTTTTCAAATTCACTCTAGTTAAAAGTATTGCCTTATCTTTTAAAAGGTCAAGTGGTCTGCTCAAAGATGACATGAAGAATATCAGTTAATATTTTTGTGCTGAACCCAAATCAGCCTAACAAGTTATACTCTTATGGCCAATAATACACCACAAAATCTGCATCCTTGGTCCTATACCAAGGATATGGGGGAAGACATTATCTAAGTGAACATATAAACTTACCTAGGGATGATCATAAGGAGAGCTGAAGTACATTTGTGGTTTGATTCCTTTAAGAAATCAATGAAACCAATTCTCATGTTCTACAAAGGCCTGGTCTAGGGGTTGGAAAAACAAAGGTTGCCCAAGGTCATACCTGAGTCTGGAGAATTCGGCTCCTGGTTCTTCAGACTTTCATGGACCATCCTCGAAGGTATGATTCTGAGGTGGGAAACAAAAGAGAACAAACCAGCTTTCTATGGTTATTGTTCTGGTCCTTTTAGTATGAATGAAAAGTCTTCAAGATAAAATCTCTAACTCCATGCACTTAAAATTAATAAGAGAATGAAGGCACTGGATGGCTAAATCTATAAAGGTAAAAATGCCTGTGAATGATTTTTTTTTAAATGCATGGTTACAAAACTAGAAGAACAGGGCCTGGTGGGTTGATGAACAATCTAAATAAAGTCCTGTGATTAGTCTGCATTCTTAAAGTGATTTTCATTTTCAATGAAGGAGTAACACATGTTATCAGACCTTTTTTTTTTTTTTGGTGAGGCAATTGGGGTTAAGTGTATCCAGAGTCACACAACTAGTGAGTGTTATGTGTCTGAGGCCAGATTTGAACTCAGGTCCTCCTGACTCCAGGACTGGTGCTCTATCCACTGTGCTACCTAACTGCTCCCCCTCCCCCCCCTTTTTTTTTACTTTTTGGCTTTTAAAAAACAAAGAAAATCTGAAGAAGCAAACTACAAGGAAAATCTATTTTTCCCCCCAATGGCTACATTGCTTAGAGATGTTTAAACTTAGAAAAAATTAATAAAGATAATACTGCTATGAATACCACAGTAATTACTCTGCCCATTGCAAGCCTGAATAATTTCTCTTTTCTGAACATGTTCTCACTATAGATTTGGTTTAATCTTGATAACCAAATCAAGATCAATGTTCTCATTAGTATTCAATTTATCTATAGAGCAATATGCCATAATAATAATAGTGGTAACGAAAGCTAGAATTTATGTAGTGCTTTAAGATTTGCAATATGCTTTATCAATATCATCTCATTTTATCCTCACAATAACCCTAGCAGGTAGATTTTTATTATTATCTTTGTTTCATAGATGAAGAAACTGAGGCAGAAGGTTAAATAACTTACCCAACATGGAGTCAGGAATGCCCGAGTTCAAATGTGGCCTCAGACACTTAATAGCTGTGTGACCCTAGGCAATTCACTTAACACCTGTTTACCTCAAGTTCCTCAACTATAAAATGGAAATAATAATAGCATGTACCTCCCATGGTGGTTGTTAGCGTAAAATGAGATAATACTTGGAAAGTGCTAGTACAGCACTTGCTACAGTGCCTAGTATATAGTAAGCACTACATAAATGTTAGGGGTTTTTTTTCCCATTGGAGAAGAACAAGTACTACTTCTTCAAATACCTAACCCCTTGTCCAATCACCCATAACCTGGCCAAACCCTAACCTTGAATTACTCCCACCGTCTGCCTCCATTGTTCCTATTTATGTGCCTCTGAACTGAGTTACAAACAAATTATGAAACTGTGCTGCCTGGGTCAATTAAAAATTTATTTTAGGTAATCTTAGCTGGGCCCTCACTGCAGCAAGGCAATCCTTGTGGATTACCTAGAGGATTCACTATCCCACTCACCACACCAACTGTACCAAATCTTTTCATCCCTCCTTGACTCTTCCACAGCACCTTCTCCCCTCACCCTTCAGCTAAGGGCCTGACAAAATACTTTACCAAAAAATTGAGGCTATTTGCTGAGAGATTATACCCAGCATTACCCCCATTCTCTCTTTAGTTTTCAGCCTCTTTCTGTCTACTGGCTCCTTCCCTACTGCCTACAAACCCATCCTTTAAAAAAACAAAATTATTTGATCCAACCATCCCTGATAGGGGTTGTCCTATATCTCTTCTCTACTTCCTAGCAAAACTCTTTGCAGAATAATCTACACTCTACCTCCACTTCCTCTCCTCACTTGATTCTAAAACCTCTGCATTCTATTTTACGGTCTCATCATTCAACTGAAACTGCCCTCTCCAAAGTTAAGTTACCTCTTAATTGCTCAATCTAACAGCCTTTTCTCAGTCTTCATCTTTCTTGAATTCTATACAACCTAAAACTGTTTGTGTGCATCTTCTCCTAGATATGTACTCCTCTGAATATTGTTCTTTCCTGGTTCTCTTCTCATCTAACCATTCCTTCTCAGTTTTCTCTGTTGGATCTTTATCTAATTTACACCCACTAACAGTGAGTGTCCACCAAATCTCAGAATGGATCCTCTACTTTTCCTCCTCTATACCATCTTGCCTGGTGATATCATCAGCTCCTATAGGTTTTATCATTTCTATCTGCAGATAACTCTCGGATCTATATATTCAGACCTAATCTCTCTCCTGAGCTTCAGTCTCACATCTCCAACTACCATTTGGACATACTGAACTATACTATACGTCCATAGACATATCAAATTCAACATGCCTAAAATACAACTCACTCTCTTTCCCTCTCAAACTCTCCCCTTCTTTCCAACTTCCCTATTACTATTGAGGGCATTACAATTATCCTAGTTATCCAGGCTTACAACCTCCATGTGATCCTCAATTCTTTCACTATGACTCGATATATCCAATTTGTCATTTCTACCTTTACAACATCTCCTAAATACGAACCCTTCCTTTTCCTCACACTACCACCCCTCTTGGTATAGGACCTCATCACCTTATACCTGAACTATTGCAACAGCCTACTGGTTGGTCTCCCTGCCTCAAGTCTCTCTCTGCCACAATCCATCCTCAATTTAACTGCCAAAACAATTTTCTAAAAGCACAGATCTGACCATGTCACACCTCTACCTTCCCCCACCCCCCACACATTAAACTCTAGTAATTCCTTATTACCTTAAGAATGAAATATGAACTCCCCCATTTGGTACTGAAAGTCCTTCACAATCAGACCCTTTCCTATCTTTTTCATCTTTTTACTCTTCTCCATTCATTTTTAGGATCCAGCTACACTGGCCTACTTCCAGTTCCTTGAACACTGACATTCCATCTTCCTTCTCCATGCTTTTTCACATGCTTTTTCCAATATGCCCTGAGAATTCTTGCCTTCTTCACCTCCACCTCCTGGTTTCCTTGGCTTCCTCCTTTAAGACTCATTCCATTTCCACCCCTTGCTGGAGGTCTTTCCCAGTCCTCCTTGCCACCCTATGCCTTGTCTCTGAGGGATCTGAATGTTCACTTTCCCATTAGAATGTGAGCTCTCTGAGAACATGGCCTATTTTTTTAAAATTTTCTTTGTATCCCCAGCACTTACATACTGTGAGTACATAGCGAATGCTTAACAAATGCTTCATAACTGGCTGACTACATCTCTTCCAGAAAGGATAGAGTTCGCCTGCTGGTAATCACTCCTCTATGCTCTGTTATTGATGCTAGACAGGTACAGAACTCTTCTGTCTCTAGGGGTTAAAGATTATGGGGATGGTCCTTTCTCTAGTTATTACCAATTCTTCTCTGGAGATCTGATCATCACCACCTTCTTAAAACAATTAGCTCACTTTTTTTGCTCAGAGGTAATATAATGGCCCACTAGGTACATACAGTCCCTTCTTCTGCTTTTTAAAGATTTTATATTGGATAAAAAATTAGCAGTATGATTACAATAGCTCTGAGCCCCCAATCAGGAAAATGTCTAATATTCAAGCAAAGGTTTAGCTCTATAAGCTAATTAAAGTTTATTTTTATCTCTAGGTAACTGTTGACCTCTTTATGTTTGAGACATTGAATCTTTTTCATTCTGTCAAGCATACTCCTGAATATTTCCCATTCTTCACTAGCAAAACCTAGCATGCTACCCATTCCCACCACCATTTTTCTACAGATATATTAAAATTCTAAATCAAATACTGGAGCTGCATAAACTATTCAAGGAAAACTTGTTGCATTTTTGCTTTCCACTTCTCCTTCTAAGAAAGGATGTACTTTCAGGATAAGAAGATAATCTGTCCTACGCTGAAATAAAGTTTTTATATTTAAAAATCATTTATATTTCAGAAGAGAATATACAAAATGTATATCTCCTCTGAAATGATTTCTTTTTCTATAAAATGAAAGTCTAAATGGCAATTACCAGGAATACTATGGTGTTACTTACTGTTTTTCTGGCTGAACCACTGCAACTTTTCTCTGTTTATTCACTATAAAAAAAAAATTCATATAAATGTTACCTGATACCATAAGAAAAATAAAGAAAAAAAGTCATAAATATGTTGAGTTTATAGCAAACATATTAAAAGCATACTGTAAGCCTTTTATACAACTTTGCAATACAGGAAACCAATTACTGAGTAAAACAAAACAAAGTTTACATAACTAAATATTAAACTTATACATTTTCCAAGTTTTTAGGCAAGGAAGGAAGAGAAAAAACCTTGTATTGCAACTCAATCATCTGCTACAAGTTTTTGGAGCAGGAGTTTACCAAAGTAAAAGTAGAAAGGCATTCAAGGGCATTATGTAGATTTTTTTCTTAAAGAAAACAGGGATAAAACACTGCTTTTAACCTGGTACCTCTAAACTGCAAGAGACTCTTACTTAATTGTGAGCCAACTCTAATTCCAAGCAATGTGTCTATAATGGACACTGTCAATACTCCCTGTCCTTCTTGACTACTGACCATTTGACCACAGGTAGTAGCAGTACATGAACATAGCTTGAAAAGCAGCTTAAGAAGTTACTGAAAGATGACAGGTATTTTGTAGCATAGACAGAGAAGGAACTTCATACTAAGAAGAGTTAATCAAGCCTGCAGCAGAAAGAAGCAGCAACTTTTAAAATAAATTATACTGTTATTAATGTGACCATCACAGTTGGTACTGTGAAAAGAGCACTAAAATAGAAGTCAGAAGACCTGCGTTTGAATCTTAGTTCTACCAAGTAATCTTTGTAGAATTAAGCAAATTACTTAATCTTTTTGAGCCTCAGCAGACCCTAACACCCAGTTGAACAATCTGCTCAGAAGAGACACTGCATGAGAACTCCATGACGAAAGAAAGGATAACAAAGTCCTACAATAATACAAGAGGCCTAAGTCGCCTAGGCTATATGTTCCCTCACATATACCTCACTTATATATTATGTATTCTAAATTTGTGCCAATTCTTCCTGTGGTCACTATACTTGTGGAAGAGTGTGGCCCAGGCTTATGAGGGAATTGTTTTGTAGCTATTGTTCTTACTATGTTATTTTAATGAATGCCTTGCTTTAAGTTAATGTGTTCACTAGCCAATCAGCAATGGGAAGGATGTCCACTGATGGGGGAATCACATGCTATAGTTGGGAGTGTCTGACCCTGCCAATGCTCACTCATCAAGCGAGTATCCCAAAAAGGAAGGATATTGCACTGAAAGGAAACATTCAGATTGGCAGGAGAACCAAGAAACAGTGGAGCCACAAAAGTCACTGTCAAAAGCTAGAGAGATGACATCAAGGATGATGAGAACTGAGGAAAAGTCCCAGAAAAAACCTCTCTCTCTCCTTTTGGATACTCATACCCTGGAATCCACTGGAATAGTCCAGGAAAGAGGCAATGAAGATCTGAAAAATAATATCATTTGCTTTAGAGGGTCTCTCAGTTAGTGACTGTGAACAAGTCAAGAAAAAGAAGAGATGTTATGGAAGTAGAAACACTAAGATTTAATAACTGACTGGATATATGGAATTAAGAATTGAAGATAACATTAAGTTTGTTAACCTGGAAGACTAGAAATAATGATAGCTGCTAGCATGTATATGGCACTGTAAGGTCAGCAAAGCACTTTACAAATATTACCTTATTTAATCCTCACAAGAACCCTCTAAAGCAAATGGTATTATTTTCCCTAGGAAACTGAGGCTAAGAGGTTAAGTAGCTTGCCTAGGGCCAGACAGCAAGTAAGATTCTGAGGCAGGATTTTTTTTTAACTGCAAATCCAGCACTCTATCCTCTAAGCCAAGAAAAATGGTGGCACCTTGGACAGAAATAGGGAAGTCTGTTAAAGGGCACACTTGAAGGGAAAGATGAATTCTGTTCTAGACATGTTAAGTTTGAGGTATCTTCAGGACAGCCAGTTTGAAATGTCTAATGGCCAGTTGGTGATGAGCTCAGGAGAGAGATTAGGGTTTAATATATATACATCTGTAAATAATCTGCAAGGCAATGATGACAGCTAATGAGCTGTCATCATGAGTCAAGAAAACGTGTAGAAAAGGTAGAAAAAGAAAGTCCAAAAGAACACTCTGGCACACACTGACAAGGGGCATGATATAAATGTTTTCCAGATAGGTAGGACAATTAAGAGAAAATCATTTTTAAAAAAAAAACTCACAGAAGAAAGAGTATCTCAGAAGTTAAAGTGTGTCCACGTTGTCAACTGCAGCAGAGAAGTCAAGAATGATGAAAATTGAGAAAAGACCATCAAACCTGGCAATTCAGTTTTAGTTGAGTTATAAAGTAACATGCCAGATTTCAAAAGATCAAGCAAATATAGTAAAAATATCAACACTTCCCAAACTAACTTAGAGATTTAACATAACACCAATTATAATATCAATATGCCATATTACATAAAGGACTCCACAAAGTCCTACTTGGATGCCTAATTGTGGCGTGGAAGTGACCTCATATCCTCAAAGATTATGCCACTGAAATATAAACTAATGTAGGTTCTGCACCATGCTAGAAAAACTTTCACTATGCTCCCTGTAAAAGATCATGTTCATTTTCCAAGAACCTACTTAGTAACCACAAAGAAGGTTGGCCACCTGGTAATGAATTTTTTAACAGCCATGGCAACCCATGAAACAGAGAAAAGTAAAAAATGGACTTTATTCTGCAAGACCTCCTGTTTCTTCTTCTGCAATGACAGTAGCAGATGGCAGAAAAGGAGGCTGAGAGTGCTAAGAATTGCTCGGTTTAAAAGAAATTTTTTTAAATCAATGACTCCTTACTGAGTACACACTAGGTACAAGGAAGGACCTGTGGGAGGTGTTTGGCCGAAGGAGTACAAAGATGTACAAGACAGAGTCTTTAGTCTCAAGGAGTTTACAGATAGACAAGCAGGTTCTATTTAAAGGAAGGTGAGGTCAAGGGGAGGGAGAAAAGGGTCCAGAACGATGGCCTCAATCTAGACTCTGAAGAATGAGCAAGATGTAGAGATGGAAGGGAAGAAGGAACAACAAGAGCAAAAATATTAAGGATGGAGTCTACAAAGAATGTTTTGAAGAGAATGAATCAACAGGTTTGGCTAGAGAAGAGACTTTATGGAAAGAAGTAGTGGGCAACGGCACTTGAAAGGTGGGCTGGGTTCAGGTTGCGAAAGTCTTGAACTCAAGCCTAAGGAGTCTGGACTTTGCTCTTCAGTCATGGGAACTGGAAGTTTTGCAAATCTGAGGTGAGGAATGAGGGGAAGAGACAAGTCATTGGTTCCTAACACTGTGGAGATGAAAGAATGGGACAATTCACATCACCATGGAGACAGGAAACTTATTTTTCTTCCTTGAGTGAATCACACAGCTCTCACATCATCAATAAACTTTAATTAATGATTGGTGGTCAAAAGAACCAACAAGTGGTGTATATATCAATCTTGAAATTCTTCCTATAAATGAAACCATAAGAAAAAAGGAAGTTATAGCTAAACAAAGGATAGCTCACAGATACTTCTTGGAAAGGCACAGGTACTCCTATGAGATCCAATTTTTTTCCCTGCTGTTCTTATTTGTTGTCTGAACTTTGGGCATTTGTGTATAGATATTTGAGGCCATGCATCTTACCAATGATTTTCTTGGATTTGGTCTATGAACTACTAGTCCTCTTATTTCTTTGTGGCTATTCTCTACGCTATTTGACAGGACATTTTTGATGATGATGACAACAACAACGATGATAATAATCGCTAATACTTATGTATAGCACTTACTACACGACAGGCACTGTGTTAACCACTTTACAATTGTTATTTGATCCTCACAAAAACTCTAGGTGGTAGGTGCCATTATTATCCCCATTTTACAGATGAAGAAACTGAGGCAGACATAGGTTAAGTATTTTGCCCAGGGTCACACAGCTAGTAAGTGTCTAAGGCTGGATTTGACCTCAGGTCTTCCTGACTCCAGGCCCAGAACTCTTTCCACTGTGACATTTAGTTCTCTCATTTGCACAGTCTTCTTCGTCCCCCATCCTTTTTAGTTGGTGGGACTTCACACTGTTACAAACATTCAGAAAACCATGACAATACGCACAAAACATCACAAAATTTATATATTCTGACCCAGTTATTTCACTGTGTACTATCCCCAAAATAAAAAAAAATTTTTAAAGTATTATTTCAATTTTTGATATTGCCAACTCCTACTACAATGCCTGGCACATACTAATGACTTAAGTCCTGATTGGTTGACTAATATGTACAAAAATATTCATAACCAAACTATTACTTTTGCTTTGTTGCTATTTGTTCCAGACCTCTAACTTCACTGCTGTAGGGAGGTTTCAGTGAGGAAATTCTCACTATGAACATAGATCAGTAACTTCTTTAAATTTATAGTCTTAAAGAACTGCCCAGTACACTGAGAGATTAAATGACTTATCTATGGTCATCCAGCCAAGAATATTTCAGAGGTTAGACTTGAACCTAGGTCTTCCTGACTCTAAGGCCACCTCTCTTTTCTATTCCTCTGTGTTACGTGAGGAAAATCACTTAACCTGTTAACTCTGGGATTCAGTTTCCTAAAATATAAAATGAGAGGACTGAACTACATACGATTTTCAAGGTCTCTTTCAGTTCCAAATCTGACAGCCTATGAAATTATAGTTCATTAATGTGATGAAATAGTATGAGATCATGAAAAATAGCTATCGTAATATGATACAGAACAAAGTTAACAGAACCAGAAAAAATACACGCATGCACGTGCACAATTATAAAAAAAGAAAAAATGAAGAAAAAAGGGGGCAAAAGTAGCAAAACTTTGAGAGGACCTTAAAAGGGGCTCAGAACAAAAGCATTCTGTTTGGTTCTGTAATGATGTCTGATTTGTCCCATACTATATGTCTGTTTTCATTGTTAGTTGTTAAGTATATAATAAAAAATGATTATCCTTCTAAAAGGGAAAAAAATATTGGAGTACACAAGATAATTTTCACAGGAACTTGGCTCTAATATTATGATATAAATTAATAGGAATTCCAATTAATAGAACTTGCAATATAATCTTAATTTCAAAAACAATTCTGCAAAGCACTGGATTGAATTAATATTTTGGCACTTTTCTTTGAAGAACTTAAAAATATGATATCTATCAATGTAAGTTTGGGGGGGGGGGGGTCAGGACTGGTTACCAATAGCTCTTAGGGTACCTGGAAGGCTTCATATATCCAGAGATAGGATAGTGACCCCCCCCTCCCCACCGAAAAGGGTCATAGTGATAGCTAAGAAAAAGAACAATAATCCTGGGAACAATATCTTTTGGGCAATTAAAATGAGGTGTCTATGGCTACAAGGAAGCATAAGAGAACATCAATTATCTTATCACAGGCAAGGAACAGAGGAGATGAATTTGCAATACTTAGTATCTTGACTTTGCAGTTTCATTCCGCAGATTCATTAAAATTATACTTCATTTCCAGGCCTTAAAGACTAGTTGAACACATTATGACCAAAATAAAAGCTTTGATAGTGGACAATTTTTAATAGAAATTCTGCTACTTAAAAAAATTTCATTAGTGAATAAATGACACAACTTTGATTGGACTTTAGAGCTAAAAAGGTCCTTAGAAATATCTCACCAGCTCCTTCAACTTACAAATGAGAAAATTTAGACAAAAAAGTTAAGAATTTTACCCTAGTAATAAGTAGCAGAATCTCAAGAGAGATATCTATTATACTATGCTGACTGACAGAAAAAGCTTCCTTTTCTTCCTTGTAAATCTCACCATTGTATAATAATGATATATTCCTAATGTTCCAACTGGAACAATAACATATTTCATGATTCACATTAAGCTAATTTAGGTTTTATTTTTTACCTTTGTAATTGCAAACTTTTCTGACATAATAACTGAACACATGGTGGGGGGCAAGTTTGTGAAATTAGGATTCTAAAGCCTAAGTATCAGATGTTAGAAATTCTAACATGTGATGTGCTAATAAGACTCAACATAATTGAAAGCATTTTCATATCATGCAGCCCATAGTCCTCAAACCCAGTCATACCTACTGCTCGACGAGGAGATCGGAGCTGGTATCCATTGGTTTCACACCAACTCACAGGGAAGATATTCATGGATTCCACACTTACAATGCATTCAGGTACTGGCTTTTTAGAGCCTAACAAAATTTTTTAAAAGTTAGCCTGTTAGTGTATTTCTAAATTCTATTTCATAATACTATCCTGCATCAATGATGACATCAAGAGAATGTAAGTTCCTTGAGGGCAGACTGTGTCATTTTATATCTTTGCATCTGGATCAAATATTTTGTTTAATAGGTTACTTCAAAACAAAATTCCCCATTTTCCACATCCACAGAACAAAGCATGCACAAAGTACTTGAGTATTCTAATATTTCAGTGTCCAATGTGGACCCAAAGGTGACCGTTGGTCACAGATGAAAAAATGTGCAGAAAATTTATTTAACAATAATTAGATTAATAGCTAACATTTACATAATGCTTTAAGGTACACAAAAACATTTTACATATGTCATCTCACTTTACAGAACCCTGTGAGGGAGGTGCTATTGTTATCCTCATTTTACAGATGAGGAAACTGAAGCTGGAGGTTAAGAGACTGGCTTGGGGTCCCATCACTAGAAAGCATCTGAGACAGGAGATGAGCTCAACTTTTCTTTACTCCAAGCCTGGCATTCATTCCACTGCACCAACCAAAAAATCAACACAGAGAGCACCAGAAAGAAGAATCTACCTCTCGAAAATAAGAAGGCAAGAAAAAAACAAAATCAATCAGGCGACTCTAAAATACCATTAGTTCTCCCTATACAAGGGGGACCCCTAGCAAAAGCCAAAAAAACTCCTTTATTAGAAACTCTTATTCAATCTATTGTTAATTGTATTGAAGTAGAGCACAATGCAAATCATTTAAACAGTATTAAATATTTAAACAGAAATTCTAGGCAGTTCTAACATTTACCCAGAATACTACTATGAAACTGGAGAGCAACAACACATTTCCAAAGCCTAACTAATTTTCTGGCATTCCAGACCTCTCTCCCACCTTACCTCTGCCTCCTGGCTTTCCTGGCCTACTTCAAGTATCAGGTAAAGTCCCACCCTCTGCAAAAAGCCTTTCTCAATCCTCCTTCACTTAGTGCCTCCCCTCTGAGTTGATTTCCAGTTTATCCTGTCTATATCCATAGTTGTTTGCATGCTGTCTTCCCCAGCAGAACGTGAACTCCTTAAGGGTAGGGGTCATCTTTTTCCTTTCTTCATATCCCCAGCACTTCAGACAGTGCCTGGCTCATAGCAGGCACTGGATAAATGTTTGCTGACTTATTGACTTGGCAGAAATATAGGAAACATGAATGTGACAAAAACAACTGTAATCTTTATTCCTAGCACGGTATTTTCCAGCTATGAAGCTTTCTTAGAAGCAGATACTTCTAGTACTATAAGGTACTAAACGTACAAATGTACTATATCTTCTCTCTCCATCACTTTTCATTTCAAAAGTAACAAAAACTTACTTGTTAGGACAAACTAAAATCTAATATCTAGAATAAATATAGGTCCCAATAGTCATTCTTATGTAATCTTGTCCCCCCCCCCCCCCAAAGAACTATCATCTGATATGCAGAATTTCCTTTTCAAGTGATAGGGAACTTTGTATTGAAACATTATAGTTTCCAAACATTTGGAAGACAAAAACTGGCAATTAAAAATTGTGCTTTAGAGTCTCAGTTTCACAATTAGCCATTATGTGAGTCTGAATAAGTATCTTTATCCTCTTCTTAATGATCTGATTTGTCTGGTACACATAGATGAACTAGCTACATTCAAAAAAAATAAAAATTAAAAAAAAAGAGAGCTTGCTCAGAACAAAATTCAAGAGCTCTCTGGTATGGTACCTACCCTCCAACTGGAGCCACAGGTATGAACCTTTCACTGCAGTAATAGTAGCAACACATACTTCTTCAGGGTCAGTAGGATTCACTGCCTCAAGCTTCATGTTCTCCTTAAAGCCATGATCTGAAATTGGCTAAAATATGAATCACAATTTCACTGCAGTGATATAAAATACACTTTTTCTAAGTGCCATTTTCTAAGTATTATCTCCTAATCACCAGATTGCTAAGAATATACAATATTTTAATTAAAAATAAGGCAATGTCATATCCCCCATTAGATTGTAAGCTCTCTAAGGGCAGGGACTGTTTTTTGCCCTTTTTTGTATCCTCAGTGCTTAGCACAACACCTGGCACATAGCAGGCATTTAATAAGTGCTTACTGACTGATAAAAAAAAAAAGGCAACCTAAAAGTGCTGTTCCTTTGGCACGTCCTACCATAAATTTTTCTCCTCTACTTCTATCATTATTTTAAAAGTCATTCAAGATTTCAACTCCATAGTTTCAGTGGTACAAACACATGAAAAGATGTTTTAAGTACATTTTACATGGCAGTTTTCTCCTCTTTAGCTTTATTCCTTTTCCAGATTGAACTTAAACTTCTCTCAAAGTCAATGACAGCTCAATTTGTGATGTTAGAATAAAGCTGATTAGATAAAAACAAATCATTTAAACTCAACAGCAAATGCATTTTTCTCTAACCCAGTACAACTGCTGAAATGTGTAACCTGGTCAGAGTACAAGCAGATACAATTCACTCTGGAGTAACTTTAACAGGAAATGGGATGAAAATTGATATAAGAACAATGACTATACAGACAGAAAAATGCTTACCAAAGGAAAGCAACTTTGTGGAGCAGCTTCAGCACCACATTGTTTGAGGTAGTCCGCCCAGTCAAAATCCTGATTCGGGTAGCCTTAAAAACAACAATAACAACAAATATATATATGTATTATATATGCATATACACACACATATTTAAAAATATCTAAGTACTTTAACATCCCTCAAGCTATAGTGAGTCTTCTTTAACCAAAATGTCAGCATGTCAGCTTTCATTCTCCACACACACCCCTTCTACTTCTACTTCAATCTACTGATTAAAAATTACTCTAGGGTACAAATGACTATGGAGATAACTACTTCAGTTTCAAACTTTAATTCACATTGTGTAGGTGTATATAACAAGGTGTATATACCTCTGTACGCATGTCTACATGTTTCGATAGGATCCTGAATTGGAAATATAAATAATTACATATACTTGGAGATTTGTTTTATTTTAGAGAAAAAAAACATTAATTTAATTGAATTAACATTAATTGAAATGTTATTAAGAGACCTGGATTTGAATCCTGGCTCTGAGATCTACTAGCTGAATAAGCATAGACAAGTCACATAACCTTTCAAAGCCTGGTTTTCTCATCTGTAAAATGGGGATAAAAACCCTTATACTACAGACATCATGGGACAGCTTTGAAGAAGGTGCTTTTAAGTTTTAAGGCTCCAGCAGCACCTTTTGTGGAGGCAAAGAGCTGGAAACAAAGTAGCAGCCCTGGGTCAGGAGAGGGCTAAATCCTTGTTGGTATAAGAACATCAGGGAGTATCATTACTGGGCTTTGAGAAATCACTGATATGAAGAGTTCAGAGAAGCATGGGAAGGAAGTCTGAACAGGAGAACCAGGAAAACAACATACACAATGACTGCAACAATGTAATTGGAGAGTACAATAAAACAAAACGGAAGAAGTGCTACTTTTATTCTCTACAGAACAAAAACATCTTCCCTGATGATGTTGCCTCTTGGCTTGACTGTCTGACCATCCACTTGGTACTAAGATCATAAGCACCAAATAGAAGAGCTGCTCCTTTCCCACTCAGTGGGAAATATAATCCTATTATCTTCCTGAGAAGAGGCATCTTCACATTCTATGAGGACAGTCAAGGACATCTTGCCTTCTAATTGTGGGTGTGGCCCAAGGCTCTGCCTCAGGCCCTCTTTTCTCCTCTCTCCAAAATCTCCCTTTTGAATATCTCATCCATTCCCATAGGTTCAATCATCATTTCTACAAGATGAATTCCAAGTCTATATACTCAGCCCTTCTAAATGGCAGTACCACACCACCAAATGCCCACTGGACATTTCCATGGTATCTCAAACTCAGCATGGCCTAGACAGAACTCATTAATTTTTCCCTCAAACCTTTCTTACTTCCTTATTTCTCCTTCCATCTCCTAGATTTGCAACCTAGAAGTCTCCCTGAACTCTACAGTCTCATGTTCTCCCACTACACATCCAAATCCAACATTTGTTGCCCAATCTTGTAGATTCTACCTCCAGAACATCTCTTGCACCTTTCCCCTCCTGTCCATTCACCTTGCCAACACTTAGAGGCCCTCATCACTTCTTGCATGGACTACTGCAACAGACTCATCACTGGTTTCTCTGCCTTTAGTCTTTCCCCTCTCTGGTCCACCATCCACACAGCTTTCAAATTGTTATCATTAAAGTACTGGTCTAACCATGTCATTCCCTAGCTTGAGATGCTCCAGTGGTAACCGAGTGTCATTATGGACAAATATAAATTTCTATTTGTATTTAAAGACCCTCACAATTTGTCACAAGTCTACATTTCTAGAATTATTACAAATTACTCTCCTTCACAATCTCTTCAAGTCCAGCCAAAGTAGGATGTTTCCCGTTGTCCATACACGTCATTTTGCTCTTTGTTTCTTGCCATATGTTGTGCCTCATACCTGAAATGCAACACTCCCTTCTAACATGAAACCTCTTCCCGATCTCCCCAAGCTGCTATCACCTTCCCTCAAAAAATTACCTTATATTTATTTGCTTGATATACACTTGTTATTTATTTATATGTGTATTCTCTTTTCCCCAGCAGAATGTAGGCTTTTGTCCTTGTCTCCCCAGCCTGGCACACAGGAGCTTAATAAATAGTTGCTGAGGGATAGATGATGTTCAATGAATTAAGAATAGCAGAAAATTTACTTTCCAATTCAACTTCATGGTCTTTTAAACAAACTCTGTGCCAATGATCATCCACTGTGCTACTTTTCTTCAACTCCTTACTATTTCCTTACTGCATATCTAGAGCTATGCCAACTTATTTTTTAAAATATAGCAAAGAGAAAAGAGAATAAGGAATGGAAAGAGGGAAATAAGGATCCTGAAAAACACTCCATGACGATAAATATTGATTCAAGAATAAGATCAAAGTTCACTAGGTTCAACTAGAAAGATACATACCTAGAGGGGGGCTGAGATGTAAACCATTCTTCAAACTCCAATGTACTGGGAAAATGCCAGCACTATTAACATGACACACAAAGGATCGTCTTATGGGATTCTCTGGTCGCAAATCATCAATTTCCACCAAAAAATATTTCTCATTGAACACCTGTAAGTTTAATCAACAGTTATTAAGTTCAACAAACATTAAATGGTTTCTACTTGTGACTTTCAAAGACAAGTATCTTAAACAATTATGGCTAATTCCATGTTTACCAACCAAAAAGACATAGAACCATAGTCTCTATACTATGCATAACTGGAACCCTCAGGGATTGAAACGACACTTTCACTCAGGACACTAACCAGGGTTTGCTGACCAATCTCTTTTCTAGGGTAGGAAGCTTAAAAGAATCTTGGGAGCCTCAAAATAGTTCCTGCAACCCTGTGGTACCTCAGGTATATAAATAATCCAATTCAGCAAACATTTATTAAGTAGATCTACAGAAGAGAATAAAAAAGTCTCAGAGCCGGAGGGAATCTCAGAAATTACCCAGTTCAACCATACCTGAACTCTTCATAACTGTAAAAAGTATTATCTGGCCTCTACATAAAAGTAAATTATGTGGAACCCACAATTCCTGAGGGAGCCTATTCTACTTTGGGACAACTCTAATCATTAGGAAATTTTTCTTTACATAACATTGATTCCAAATGTGTCTCTACCTCATGGTTCCTGATTCTGTTTTCTAGAGCCAAGCAAAGGAAGTCTAATTTAGTTCTTCATTCCATAATACAGTCTTTCAAATTTTTTTAAACAGTTATAATTTGCCCCCCTAGTCTTCTCAAGACCTCCAATTCTTTCAAACAGTGCTCATACAACATGGTCTCCAGTCCCCTCACCATACTCCAATTTGTCAATGTTCTGATTAAAATGTGGCACTCAGAAAAATAAACATTATATTTTATATTCCAGATGCAGTCTATCCAGAGTAGAATACAAAAAGATTACCACCTACCTCATTCTTAATCTGCAATGCTATTCCATGACCCTACCCCTCTTATTTATTTTGCTATTTTGGAATAGCTAGATTCCAATCATAAATGTCATCACACCAAATCTCAGTAAAATGGCTGAATTTACCTTAAGATCTCTGATTACCTTGTTTTTCACCCAGATGGTGTGTATTTGTGTATAGATCATCTATGGTCACATGACTGATATGGCTGGAGAGAAATGGCAAAGCTTCATAATTTGTCTATGGTTACACATCTAGTAAGTGCAAAGGCAGGATATGTGAGTGCAGGTCTTCTGACTCCAAATCTACTGTTCTTTCCACTAAACGCAGCATACCCTGTGAAGGGTCACACAAAACTCTTCCCTCCTTCCATACTCTCCATGCCAAGTGGAAGTAACAATCTCACTTTCCGTTTAGTCTCCTTTTATAGAGTCTGTACATTTTCTCCTATAGGACACACTCTTGCATGGCAGTTTTTAATTCATACGTAGCAATTCATGTAAAAGTTTTAATGCAAACAGAAGCCCTCAGTTGTCATGTAACCAGGTCTTCCAAGTTTAATTTCTGGTCATTTTCTGTCTTCTCTTTTCCTCCATGCTACAACTTCAGATGCCTCTTCCTCTCTCTGACTATGTCAGTGCTTCTGGGTTGATACATCTGGCTACCTTGTAGAATGGAGGTGGGGGGGTGTTGTCTGTGACTAGGTATCATTACACTATAAAATTTTTTGAGCCTGCTGACCTCAAGAATTTTGTACCCCACCTGCACTAAATATTATACTTAACACATCAGGCCCAATACAATTAAATAAAATTAAAGTAATATATTTTCCCTACACCTGTTCAGATGACCAGGGTGTCCTAAAGCCTCTGACAAGGAAAAGTACGTTTCCCTGACGTGACATTTCCTAGAATAAAAAACTTTGAATGAGCTGCTACGAACCTCTTGAGCCACCACCTCTGACACAAAGAGAAGTAAAAGATAAAGGTCTTTCTTACCTTAACAATTGTAGCAGGAGAAATAGCAAAAGGGGCTGAGGGGTCTAGCGCTTCCAATTTCATGTTTGCAGAGAATGTGTGATGACCAATTACCGGTTTATCCTGAAATGAAAACACCATGTGGAAATAAGGACTACAGATGCTAAAATCTCTTGCCTCATTTTTTAAATGTCTGATGGCTTCAGTACTAATTTTGGGACTATCCCAAATACATATCAAATAATTATGCTAGTTAATTCAATCTTCTAACAGAAATTAGGTTAGTGAATCCACTCACCTTCTTTCCTGGGGAACAATTCAAAAGATAAACTCTGAGAAATTATTATTTTGAAGACATTCATGCAATATATTACATTAAATTAATGAGGAAAATTTGGAGGGGGGAAGAGGATATGGGGAATAATGAAGCAAATATTTAATATACACCTTAACCTATAGCTACTTAGCTAAGGATATAGTTATAAAAAAGGATAAAAGATAAAATTAAACTACCTAAGATATTTTAAAGTCACATAAATGGATAATGAAAATCAAAACCACTATGAGAAGAAATAATATCACTGTTTTTCAAAACTTCTTTTACACAGGTACATACCTCCCACAACCACTTGTTATTTACTATTTTGTCAATAGAACAATATCTTTAAAGTTTTTCTTTTTTACCTTAAATAAGTCAGAGGGTATCAATGATTCTTCTTCTTCCTCTTTAATTCTGGTTAAGATCTCCTGCCATTCTGCCTCACTTTTCAAATGTCTGATGGCTTCAGCAAAAAATCAAGTAGAAGCACATTGAATTACATAGCAAAATTTGTACAAATGTTACAAACATTTGCTATTTTGGAATAGCTAGATTCCAATCATAAATGTGAGTGTGAGTTAATGATTACAAGCATTTTTTAAACTTGTTTTAAAGTCATCTAAAGACTTAATTTATACTAGATATCTGACATTTTTTAACCCAAATTTACGTGTTTATTAATTTAACTAACAACAAGTATGAGTACAAAGAAACCCCTAAAACTGAAACCAAATCCCAAAATGCACTTATGGAACTTGTCACTAATTTTCAACATTTTGACTAATAATCCTACTATTGGCTGAGGAGGTAAGGCTAAGTATGGAATTTAAAATAAGCAACTGAATGTACCTGGAAAATGAATATAACACTGCAGTAGCAAAAGAAGCCCTAACACAGTGTAATTTTAAACATATTGCAGTAGCTGAAATTCTCATTTAAAAATATGAGTTTTGACAAGACTTGCCACTCCATGAATCCCACTTATTTGAACCCCTTACTTATATGTTTTACTTCAATTTGGTGGTCTTATATTGGTACTACAAATTACAAATGGCAAAGGACTTAGAAATAATAAAACTGGAAGAAAATTTAAGATATAAAATCATAAACTTTACATTTTTACAGCCCTATAAACTTTAATGATATCTTTACTACATGTACTGAAGGGAGCTTCCACAACACATGGGAACATGTAAATCAGTAGTCTCTTCAATATAACCTATACATAGAAAATGTCTTCTTAAAAGTTGTTTTTCACCTGTTGGAGGCTGAAGCTCATATCCCTGCTGAGATGCCCAACCAACTTGATGAAGGAATGGATCCAGGTAAAACAACCACTGTTCAAATTGATCAGAATTCTCCAGACCTTCATAGTGCAACTTCAATCTTCCCCCAATATTATCTGCTACGTTAACAATCCAAGTGCTTAAAGAATCCTGGAAATTTTGACATTCCAGTCTGGAGCCTGGTGCAATGAGATCCAAAGGATTCTTCCCTTTATGAAGCTGCAGATAAAAAAGGAGACACAATGAAATAAGTGAACAAGCAACAACAAAATTAATAAACACATAAATTTAGGTACAAAAATGTCAAATATCTAGTATATATAGTAAAGTCTTTAAATGACTTTAAAACAAGTTTAAAAAATGCTTGTAACAAACATGCAGTAACAAGAGACTCAGAATAAAACATCTAGTGTTTTGGGTAAAGCCTCTAAGGAGAATCTGTGAAAAGACTCGGACAACAATCTCAGAAAATACGGAGGCAAAGCTGGTCTGCAATCTAGACTAGGGGAGTGAGTACCTACAGAGATAGAGGAGATAAAAAAATCAACATATTTAAGTAAAACTTAAAGATTACTGACTAAAACCCTAAATGTTCTTTAACATTTTTGTTGCTATGCACAAGGTGATTTTATGCTAGTGTAGATGACTACTCAAACTAAAAACCAAATTAACAAAATTCCAAGAGAACTCTGCATGTTATATTATTTGGTTTCATTCAGGAAAGTAGTTACACCATTCAAAAAGGAGAAGTTTACCTATCTCCTTAGTTATTTGTTATGAAACCACTAAGGACAGGCGATTCTTTTCAAAATTTATGATTTAATCTCTCCTTAAAAACCCATAGTACATTTATTTTCTCAGTATGTATTACTATTTCCAGTTAAGACTACCTATCCACACAAAGTGTTTGTAACCAATGGGAGGAATAATAAAATTACAAAGGAAAAAAGCAATGCTTTACAGCAAAATGCTCTGAAAATGGCAATAAAGTACGCCATACAACCCAGAAGGATGGCCTGGAACTAAGAAAAGGATATTCTCTTTCTTGTAAAAAGAACTGTTGTCATAGATAATGAAAGGGGGGGGGGATTACACTTAGAACATGAAAATTACCCAGCGATGCCTAGCTCCACATGTGTGCCTGGACAATGAGAGTAGGGATTGGACCTGTAATTTCACTGATACAAAAAAGCCCTAGATAAAGAAAACTCCCCCTTTCAATGTAGGTTAGTACTTTCTCTGAAACTGGTAGTCTTAGAATTGCCTAGGACACTGAGAGGTAGACACTCACCCAGTGTTAACATCCACTTACTATGTGTCAGAGGTCCTGACATCAGGATCACTTCCACTACATTTTTTTTATATGAGATTGGATAAATCACTTTACTCCTTTGTAAACAAAGGAGACAAAACTACATGATTGTTTTGGGAAATCTAAAAGCACTCAGAGAGGCAACTTGGCACAGCCGATAGAGAAACTTCCTGGAAGTCAGAAAGACCTGGTTCAAGTCTTGCTTCTGATTCATACTGTCTGTGACCCTTGGCAAGTCACTCAACTTCAGCGTCCCCAAGCAACTCTCTAAGATTATAAATTGTGGAGCAGGTGCCAGCCAACCTGCAATGGTAGTAGGAGCATCCTCATCCAAAGTCCTTTATGCCAATAAAATCACAGGTCCAGTTGCTCTATATCCCCCCCAAAAAATTGAGGGACACCCAGAAAAGTTAAATGAGTATCTTTATACAAAAATTTTAACAGAAAATATCACTATGGTTTCAGATTAGTTTTTCCACATTGCTTCCACTAGCATCAACACTCACGCCCTCTAGCAGGTTAGAAGGAGCACTACATGCTCCCTTCAGGGTCTCCCGTAGGAACTCAATGCAGTCAGAAATCTTGTCCTTGATACCTAAATGGGAAAATAAATGCATAATAATTATCCCTTTTGTCAAAAATAAGCCACCTATAATCTTAACCTCTTTAAACTCTTAAATAGTATTTCAAAGACTTACTTCATTTAAAGATCTACTAAGAGACTTGCAGGGGTGGGGAACCTGGATTAAGGCATCTATTTTTCCTTGTAGAGTTCAGCAAAGACTGAATTTAATTCCTCATTTAGATACATGGAAATAATACTTATCAATTTAATGAAGACTGCATACATCATGAGGTGCAAAGTTGGTCAATTCCCACCTTACAGACAAACTACTACCTAAGGAATCAACCAATCAACATATATTAAGTGCCTACTATATGTCAGGCACTGGTGGGTATACAAAAAGAAGCAAAAGACAGTCCCTGTCCTCAAGGAGTTCCCCATCTACTGGGGGAGACAATAAACAAACAAAAATACACACACACACACACACACACACACACACAGTTTTTTTTTAGGCAGTTGGGGTTCAGTGACTTGTCCAGGGTCACACAGCTAGTAAGTGTCAAGTGTTCAAACAAATACATATAAAACAAGCTATATAGAGGATAAGCAAAAAGCCACTAGAATTAAGAGGAGTTGGAAAAGGCTTCCTGTAAAAGAAGGGAGTTTTAGTTGGGAAGCCAGGAAAGGCACTCAGTAGAGTTGAGGCAAGAGAGAGTTCCAGGCAAGGAAGATGGCCAGAATAAATACCCAGAGCCAAGACGTGGAATGTCTTGTTTGTGGAACAGCAAGAATGACAGTGTCACTGGATCAAAGACAATGGAGTAGGGAGTAAGGTGTTAAGAAAACAAGAAAGATAAGATTATGCTAGGTTATGAAGGGGTTTTAAATGCCAAATAGAGCAATTTGTATTTAATCCTGGAGGCAAAAGGGAGTCAATGGAGTTTACTGAGTAGGGGAATTGACATGACAGAACCTATACTTTAGGAAAATCACTTTGGTGGCTGAATGGACAGTGGATTGGAGAATGGGGAGAGAGGTAGGTAGATCCATTAGCAGGCTACTGAAATAATCAAAGCATAAGGTGATGAGGGCCTGCACTAGAGCAGTGCCAGTGTCAGAGAAGAGAGGGAGGCATATTTGAGAAACGTTGCAGAGACTTTGACAACAGACTGAATACGGGGGATGGGAAAGAGGGAGACTGTAAGGTATCAAGGACTACTCAGTAATGAGCTGGAGGGAACTAGAAGAATAGTGTTGCCCTCTGCAGTAATAGGGGGGAGAGGTATTGGGGGATATGCTGTTTGGACATGCTGAATTTAAGACACTTACTGGACATCCAGTTTGAAATGTCTGAAAAGCAGTTGGAGATGAGACTGGAGGTCAGCAGAGAGGGATAGAATATGTAGATTTAAGAATCATCAGCATGTATAATAAATGATGAGGAGGATGCTTTCAGAAAAACCTGAACTTACATGAATTGATGCAAAGCAAAGTGAGCAGAACCAGGAGACCATTGCCTACAGTAACAGCAATACAGTACAATGATAAACTGTGAATGATTTAGTTATTGTCAGGCATACAAAAATGCAAGACAATTCCGAAGGACCTATGATGAAAAATGCTGTCTACCTCCAGAGAAAGAATTGACAGAATCTGAATGTAGATTGAAACATACTATTTTTTTAACTTTATTTTTCTTGGGGTTTTTTTGCCTGTATTTTCTTTTTTTTATAATTAACTTATTTATTTTTAGTTTTCAACATTCACTTCCATAAGATTGTGAGTTTTAAATTTTCTTCCCCTCCCACTTATCCCCCCCCAAGATAGTGTAAAATCTGATATAGGCTCTACATATACATTCATGTAAAGCATATCTTCCCATTAGTCATGATATAAAGAACAATTAGAACTAATGGGAGAAACCATGAGATTGAGGCAATAAAACAAAACAACAAAGGAAAAGAAGAGCAAATAGTAAGTGTCCATCTGCATTCAGACTCCATATTTCTTTCTCTGGGTGTGGATCTGCCTGCGTTTTCTTTTACAATATGACTAATATGGAAATATGTTTTACATGTCTATACATGTATAAACCTTATCAATTTGCTTGCCTTTTCAATTGAGGGCTGAGGGATGGGAGGGTGGGAGAGAATTTGGAGCTCAAAATTGTTTTGTTTTGTTTTTTAAGTTAAAAATTATTTTTACGTGTAATTTAAAAAAATAAAATAGTAAAACTTTTTTTTTTAAAGTAGAGGGTCTGAGGAGGGATGAAAAGTTTTGGAAGAGCCACTACGAAGAGTGCAATAGTACTAAGAGAAATATAGAAGGATTGCCTAGTAGCATTTATAGTGCAATTGAGGTTGTATAACATAAACTTGAAGTGGACTCATTTTCTCCACCATCAGCACATATGTAGGAGCAAAGGTAACAAATGGTGGGAGTGATCCAAGGCTGAGGCTTGGCAGGACACAAATGGCAATATAATAAAGGGGATAGGGATTCAAGAGAGGGCAATGTAGATTTGAACTGGTTCATGAAGGGGTCAAGATGGGGCAAAAAAAGGGAGAAAGTGGCTAGTGCCTGGGAGATGGCCTAAGAGAGAATTGAGGGATTAAAATATTGGAGGTCAAAAGAAAGGAATAATTCAAGAAATTTAAAAATAAGAAATATTAGAACTTGGTGACCATCAGGATACAGGAGATGAAATAGAGAAGACTAAATCCCCTGAAATATAGCATTAACTCAGTATTTATAGAACATACTGAGTCAAAAGAGTGAGAATGGCCTACATTTTAAAGTTAAGCATTAGAACTACACAATTCATCTTTTCTTTTTATTTCTAATTTTAATCTTGTATGCTTCATTTCTTCCTCCAAGTAAAGTAGTGCTCCCATACTTACTCGCAAACAATACCATTTATATTGGAATCACAGATCTAAAGTTGGAAGAGATCTATCCCAATCCCCTCACTTTACAGAAAAGGAAACTGAAATGGTAGTGGGCATACATAAACATCCTAAGTACTGGGTAATCTCATCTATGCCAATAATATTCAAAAATCAGGAAGTAAAGAAAGAAGCCTTTGAGAAACCTAAATAGATATATCACAAAGCTCATATGCTAAACATGAATTTTTCTTATAAGTATTTTCTTATAAGAGAACAGAACTCAAAATCTTCTATTTAATCTTATTACACAGTTTTCACAAGATAAGCTAATTGGTTTAGAAAACACAAAAACAGCAAATTAGATTAGAAGCATCAAATCATAAGGGAAGAAGAAATTGAGAAATCATAGCCATGAAGGCTACAGGAACCATAAAACAAAACATAAGAAGCCCAAAAGCACAGTAGAGTGCCATCAGTGTAGGGGCAAACAAGCTAACATGCCTCAAAGGCACTCGCTACATTAGTGAAGAATACAACTGATGTTTAAAATTATGGCCTTGAGAAAAGGTTAAATTGCATCCAATACTCCCTACGCTTAATAAAGCAAATATGAAGATAATACATTTTAGAAATATTTTCATTCAAAATGATTTTTAAAAAGAAAATGTTGTAGTCTTTTAACATTCATTTATTTGGAAAACTCTTAACCAGACTTGAGGTTCTAGTGGTCCTAGATAGCCACAATTTTTGCTATAGTACTCTTCATCCTACAGGAAATTTTCTATTACCTTCAGGTGCTTTGAGAATCTTCTTATTCTGCTCACACCAGCCAATAGGGTGTAAATCAGCTGTCCTGATATCACACCAGAAATCTGCTTTTCGGTCCTCTCCATAGCCATCATAACGCAACAAGAGTAACTGCCCACATGTGGTGATGATGGTGGCAACCCAGTAAGTTTCATGGTCAGATTTTACAGCAACCTCTAGTTTCATGCCAGGGGCAAATCCATTCTGCAGACTTGTGTCCACCTGAATAACATAACTCAATAACCACCAGACCATCTATGGCACATAAAATATTCTTACAGACAATATTTCTCATTCAAAGAAAGTCTTTAAACATACACGCCCTAAATAAAATTTTCGTTAAAACAGAACAAAAATAAAAATTCTAACATTATGTTAAGTAGACCAAAACAAGAGTGGCAACACTTTCAGAAAAATGGAACAAAATGTTTTACCCACAGAAGCATATGATTACAGAACTCTTGTTTCTACTCAGCACGTAAATCGCTAAATTTTTATGGAGCCTATGAGTTTCTAGAAGTGTTTCGTCTTACTACTCAGCATGTGAACGATTTGTGCCTCAGGTTCAGAGAAGTTAAGCCATTTTCCCATGATTACTCAGCTAGTAAGCACAAAGGAGAAATATAAACCCAGAATTCCCTGATACCAAGTCCAGTATGCTCTCCACTACTCCACACTACTTCTATCTCCTCATATTTAGATAAAATGATAAAATTAAGAATTATAGTATGAATTCCCTACATAAGACTTGTAGAAGTAAAAAGAAATTTAGGAGTTCTCTTTAAATCACTGAAAAGAAATTTCTAAAAGTCCAATGTTGGCTTAAAAAGCAGAACCAAAATTATCTACTGATGAATTTCCAAAGACAGGTAATATATACTCCATATGATTTGTATTATAAAGAAGTCAGGTAAAAGAAAGTACATTCTCTTCATACACCTGAATTAAGTTAATTCCAAATCCAATGGAAAAGCAAAGCTGTCTATGGCCAATTTATCTTTCCAGAAAGAAATGGAAAGACTCAGTAATAAATTGTACTAGATAATGAAAACAGTAAGGTAATTTGAACAAAACTGTAAGGTTCTGATATTGTTAGCACATTTCTCACTGGTTTTGATCATAAGATTCTTCCAAAACTCTAGTGTTAGCTAGATAACTAGGTGAATACAGATCAAATCCTAACCGCTAAACAAACTGTTCAATTTTTTTATTTTGTTCAATAATTTTTAAAAATTTATACCATAATTTGACTTCATCAAATGTTGCTAGAAATGAATCATTAGCTGAGAAAAACCTTTCTGTCACACAGATATTTCTCATATATTTATAATGCATTTGAATATTTATTCTATGCAAGCATATATTAAAAGCTTTTTATTTGCTTCTTTTTTCATGAACCTAACTGGTTAAAATTAGTATAAGTTCAAATAGCCACTAGGGGGCTCTACTGTTTTATTAACTGATAAGACAAAAACAAAAGATAATTAAAATCATATCTGCACTTGGAATATGCGATTTTAATCAGAAAATTCCCAAATGGATATGCATGAACCAGCTATACAAAACTCCAAAGAAGGCCAATTCTGCATGAAAATATATAATAATAAAGATTTCAGTCTGTAAAAACAAAGACTAAAAGATGATATAATAAAAATTTATAAAAATATGGTATAGACAATATATAGTCACTGCTTTGTTCACCAAATCCCAGCATATGAGAAAAAGTACCATCAGCCTCCCACTCCTATAAGAGAATGTTGTTGCTTTTTTTAAAAGAACTTATTACTCTAGGAAGAGATTCAGGATAAACAGACTGATAAAACATCTATATAAGGGGTTCTTACTTTTTTTGTGTCATGCACTCACCTGGCAGTCTGGTAAATGAGATTTAATAACCCCTCTCAGCATAATGTTTTAAAATGCATAAATTAAAACAGGATTATGAAACAATTATATTAAAATAGCTATCATAATATTTTTAAAAACAAGTTTGCAGACCTCAAGTTTAGAAATTCTGGGTTAGATATACATGAGTAATTATTCTAAGCTATACAGATATATACCTAAACGTCTGAGGTTAATGTCATGTGATACTCCTTTAATGACACATTTAATAGACAAAAGGCCACAAGGACCACTGGTATGACTAAAGAGGATAGCTATGATGTTCTTACTGTAATAAGAGCAATCAAATGTCTCCTGTTAATGAGAGGAAGCACAATGAACTGACTGTTGGAAACTGGTTCCCCACCCCCAACTCCCCATCACTGCCACCTGAAGGACTGCTGTCCCCAAGGTGAGAACAAGAGACACTAGCTCAAGGTCTCAACAAGGACTCCTGAGAAAGGACCAGATTAGCGGAAACAGATCCACACTCAGTCAGAGGACCGTAGTTCAAATCCCAGCTTGGAAGCTCAACAGCTGAGTGACATCAGGCAAGGCACTTTACACCTCCTGACTTCAATTAACTCATGTGCCAAATGAGGGAGATAAAGCAGATGATCTTTAAAGCCTAAGCTAGCTCTAAGTCCTGTGATCCTGCGGCATGCTGTAAGCTTGATCATTTCAAATGAATACATAAGAACTCTACAATTTTGTTCATTTTATCCACAGGCTTCTGAACATGATGCTACAGGGATTTTAACATACATAAAAGGTTACTGAGTCAATTGACTAACCTGACAAGAATTAGGAGGCAGAAGAACAACTAATTGAAAAGATTATTAGAGCCATTTTTAATAAAGTAAGCACACTTAGAGAGCTTATCTTACTCTAACTTACAGAAATTTTAATTCTTCTAAAGACTCATACATGAATCCAAGGGGAAAAGGACATATAGAGAAAGTCAAGAAAATAAAGTGATGACTTACATGCTTAAAAGACCCATGTGGAGCTGCTATGGATCCTGTATCTTCTAGATATTCATCCCAGTTAAATTCCACTTCCTCCACACCAGATCCAGCATCTAGAATGCAACAATAAGGTGAAGTTCTCATTTTTTGTTAGTCAACAAGCAGTACCTACTATGTGCCAGATATTGTGCTAGAGCACTGGCAATACTAAGAAATAACAGCCCCTGATCTCAACAATCTCACAGTCTACTAGTGAAGACAACATGCCAACAACTATGTACCAGATATACACAACATGAACTGGAGATCATCTTGAACGGAAGGAATTAATATGAAAGAGGACTGAGAAAGGCTTTTTGCAGAAGGCAGAACTTTAGCTGAGACTGGAAAGAAGCCAGAAAGTAGAGATGAACAAGGAGAGAATTTCAGACATGGAGGAGAGCCAGTAAAAATGCAGAGAATTGGTGTTTCAGAAAGCAAGGAGACCAGTTTCACAGAACAGCAGAATACATGAAGAGGAGTAAAGTATAAGAAGACTAGAAAGCTAGGAAGGGGCCAGTTTATGAAGGGCTTTAAAAGCCAAACAAATGATTTGGTGTTTGATCCTAGAGATAACAGGGAGTCACTGGAGTTGATGAAATAAGTAGGTGACAGGGTCAGATCTGCATTTTAAAAAGATCACTGACGGCCTTAGTGAAGGATGGATTAGAATGGGCAGAGCCTTGAGGTAAGAAGACCAACCAGTAGGCTACTACAATAGTCCAAGTGTTAGGTGATGAGGGCCTGCACCACGGTGGTAGTGGCGGCTATCACAAGAGAAAAGGGGCTGAATACAAGAAATATTATGAAAGTAAACAAAAGGACTTGACAATTGGTTAAATGGAGGTGGGGAGTGTGGCAATACGGCACCCACTGTGTGAGTGCGGAGTTGAGAATAATACGTAGGCCACAAGTCTAGGTGAATTGGACGGTGGTGAGACCCTACACAGAAATAGGAAAGTCAGGAAGATGGGCAGTTGTAAGGGATAAGAAAAGAACTTTTAAATGGAAATAACAGAGTTACTTTCACTTCCTATTTGCAAAAGCCTCTTTTTAAGTCTTCCCACTTCCATTCTCTCCCTCTTCCTATTTATCCTTTATACTACTGACAGAATAATCTTAAACATACATCCAGACGTGTCTCTCACCTACTCAAAAACTTTCAGCAGCTCCCTACTGACAAAGATTAAAATTCAAACCTTTCCACAATCTATTGCTGCCCTGCATTTTTAGCCTCATTTTACACTCCTACCATCACTGGACTCTACTCTCTATCCAAACTGGACTACTTCCTAACCCCATGAATGCACAATGCCCTCTCCTCACCCCACCCCCAACACTATATTTTTAATTCTGTCTAATTTCATCAATACACTCCTAACTCAAGCCTTGGTGCCACCTCCCTCAGCCTCCTCTTCCCTTTGATTGAAGGGATGAGGGTGGAATACTAAATTCCCAAAGCCTTCCTTCACAGAAGGCAGAAATTGGACTTCCAGCTCACTTCATTTTCCATTTGCAGCTATGAATGGTTTCAATGGGTATCTCTTGGTGTCTGTCATCCCCCCACCCCAACTTTTCAACTTCCTTTTGTGTGTTGTCTTCGCCCATTAGATTGTAAGATCCTTGAAGAAAGGTACAATCTTCCTTTTTCATATTTATATCCCTGTGTTTACCATAGTCCTGGGCACACAGTAGGAGTTTAATATTTACTCAACTGATCACAGTATTTCCTCTGCATAGAATGCCTTCCCTCCCCTTCATTTCGTGGTAGTTTCCAACTTATCTTTTAAATATCCAGCAAACAACACTTCCTCTAGGAAGCCTTCCCTGATCTCACTGGTCAGTTATGATGTTCTTCCTCACACCTTAGACTGGATTTTGTTCTGTAACTAACAGAGTTATATAATAATGGAAAAAATATTACATCTGTCTGCATTGGCATCTTATTCCTGCCTCATCCCCATTATATCTCAAGCTCAGGAATTATAAGCTAAACTTTTGGCAGTGCTTATTACAATGCACATATACAAGAACCAAAGCTTGAAAGGACCTCATACTGTATCTAGTCCAACTGTTCCATTTAACAGATGGAATAACTGAGAGCTGAAGAAGTTGTGACTTTCCTAAGGTCACAGGTAGCAGATGAGAGATTCCATTAGAACTTGGGACTTTTCACTATGGCACCTAGGTGACACAGCAGATAGACTGTCAGGCTAGAGGCAGGAAGACTTGAGTTCAAATCCAGCCTCAGACACTTCCTAGTTGAGTGACCTTGGACAACTTACTGCGCTTCTATTGGCCTCAGTTTCCTCCTCAGTAAAGAGGGGTAATAACAGCACCTACTTCCCAGGGTTGTTGTGAGAATTAAGTGAAATAACAATTATAAAAAATAACTAATGATGCCTACTATAGTTCCTGGCACATAATAAGCACCATATAAATGTTAGCTATTATTATTACTATTATTATTGTTATATCATCCAATGTCATTCCATTATTCCATGCAATTTCTCTGATTCATTTAAAACTGGACTCAATTCACAAGAATTCAACTTGTATGAAATTTTTCAGAAATACATTTTTAGCACAAAAGACAACATACCTGTAATGATAAACCTATGATTCTTTAAGTTCCATTATCAGAATCATTTTGATCAACCACAGTTTAAGCCCAGGGAAACTACTGGCTGAATTCTATTAAGTCAGTCAGATTTGATTGAAATGATACCTAAAAAAAATCATTTCAGATTTCTTTCACATTCCAATTACCATTCTGAGTTTTTAAATTGTAGAAAAACATCTCAATTTAGCCAAAGTGGGTGTTTTATAGTGGGGTATATCTGATAACTTTCTGGAAAGAATGCTGGATTGGGAGTCAATGAAGTCCTGGCTTTGGCACTTTCTACTTGTGCAAATTTGGGCAAATCATTTAAACTACCTAGGCTTCAATGTCCTCAAACGTAAAATGAGGAGGTCAGACTCAATGACATCTGAGGTGCCTTCTGGTTCTAATTTTATCATCCTGTAACTATATATAATTATATTTCATTAAAATATCAAGGTCATGAGGTCATATTAAATTAAGACCACAAACAAAACGACCAAGTTCAATTTTAAAAACATGTAGAAAAGATAGAAGATGAATACACAATTGTTATTATAAAATTAACAATGAATGCCAAGGAAAACAAAGAGTACATTTTTAGCTATACAAAGGATAAAAGGAGCATCACAACCTATACACTCTCATTCCACTGAAGACACCAGAAGAGATGGTCATACACTTGATCTCCTAAGTCACAAGTGTTCTATCTCAACTATGTGTTTCACTCTGCATATTACATCATTCTGAATAGGAGTCTATAGTCATCACCAGACTGCCAAAGGGGTCCATAATGCAAAATAGGTGAGAATGTCTGGACTAGGATCCTAGAAGACTCTTGTCTCCACCCCATTGTCCCAGCTGGCTTCCACCCCTGGAATACTCTAACCCACCAACCATATCTCTTGGTTTCCCTGACTTCCTTCAAAACTTGGCTAAAACGTGACCTTGTGTGGTCACCCCTCTTAGAATTCTTTCCAACTACTCCATATACATATTTTATCAACTTAATTGTTGACATGTTATTTCCACCATTAGAATGTAATCTCCTTGAGGGAAGTGCTCATTTTTCCATTTCTTTGTATCCCCAGTGCTTACACAGTACCTAGCACAAGAACAAGTGCTTAATGACTTAACAAACTAATTTTTGCCTATTTTCCAGGCTAATTACACAGACTATCCCCTCAAAAATTAACCTCTGAATAAACAGACTTATCTGTTGTTGCCTGTACACAATATTTTATCTCTTCCTCCATGCCTTTGCACAGGCACTATGTCTGGAATGCTCCCCCTCCTTACCTTTGCATGTTGGAACTTTTATCTTCCCTTAAAGGCTCAACTCAAATGTCACCTCCTGGATCCCAAAATCACTGTTTTTATTTTGTATTTATTGGAGATTTGTCTATGAATGCATTGCATTTCCCCAATTAGAATGTCAGCTCCTGAAGTGAAGAGTGTCTCACTTTTTGTATATGGCATATAGTAGGTGCTTAGTAAATGTTTACAGATTGCTTGATTAAAGCACATGCAACACCGTTGATTGAGAAGTGTGGTACAGCGATAACGGATGGAGAAAGACGGAAATGACTGAACAGAGTCATTCTTAGTTTGGTCCTTTTTGTCTTGGCCAAGGAAAATGACCTTTGGATCAGCAAGTACAAAATAAAAATGGTTAGTAGTGAACTGAAGTTCAGGATAAGGAGATGAGAGTAAGACTAGGTCAACTATCTATCCCAGAAAGGCTTGGCAGAAATGATGGCTGACAAAGATGACAAGCAGTATATAAGGCCTGAAGGACAAATGATATATGAAACAGCAGAGAAGCTGTCAGATAAGCTTTGCCTGGACTCCAAATTCTGAGAAAATCCTAGAATGTATAATTAATAGTATGGTGTTGAGCATTTAGCAAACGCATCAGTGATCACTAAAGCACAATACGGTTTCAGGAAGAATAGCTCATTAAGAAAACCCTGTTGAGGACATTAGCCTGGTAGATCTGGGGAATGTGGTAGAAGTAGTTTACATAAATCTGAGCAAAATTCATGACAATTCAATTCAATAAACACATAGTATCTGCTATCCATACAGCACTATATTAGGCAATGAGAACACAAAGATCAAAAACGAAAGTAGTAATGTTCCTTGCTCTCAAGCAGTTTACATTTTAGTTGGGAATACAGGTAAAGAGATAGATTAAATCTATGATTAATATGTACAGGAAGAGCACTAAAAACTAAAGAGTAAAAAAAATCTTTAATTAAAAAAAAAAAACAACTAAGGGCATCAGGAAATGACTTAGGTAGGAGCTGAAACCTGAGCTAGGACTGGAAAAAAGTTTGGAGACTCTAAGAGGTAGAAATGAGAGGAAGGAGAACATTCTCGGCGCTGAAACCTATGAAAGGAGTTCAGGAACAGGAATAAGGCCAGCAATATAGTATATACATAAAAGGGAATAACTGTGAAACAATTCTA